GTCGCTGGTGGACGCTGGTAGACGCTGGCAGACGCTAGATCGATATCTATACTTTCCTAGTCGCTGACGCTGCCGGACACAGTGAACGCTGGTAGACTCTATTTAGTGGACGCTAGTACAGGACGTAAGTATGAATGCTGCCTCACTGGATAGCGATTTTAATGGCGCCCAGCGAGATTTATTCCGAAATGTGCTTTCCCTACTTCATTCACATCAGCGATTAGCGCAAATTTTTCCAGCCTTCCTGATTTTGCATGAGAGGAGCACTAGAAATTCTATGAGAAACCCCATGCAACTCAAATATCTTAAGATGAACCACGATGTGCTTTGGGAAGGCCGCTTCCCAGCGAGAAGGAGGAAAATTGGCTGCAGGCACATGGGCGTCATGAGCGATGTCGCACTGATTGCGCGGCGATGGATGGGACAATGTGTAGCGCTTCTATCGCTGCGCCCAGTGCTGTACGTGAGTATTCTCGATTAACCTAAAAGTGAGAATTTTCTAGAACTCACATCAATGTCCTTCGGTTCACGCGAATGAGATTCCCTTTTTGAACCAGGCATCGCTTCACGTGAATGCGAACTCCTGTTTGAACTACGCATTGTTCGAGTATGCGTCGAAGGCTACAAGCAGATAATAACCAGTTTAGCCGAACTGTGAATTTGCAAAATAGTAGTAGTAAAGGCCGAGTGAGGTTGGAGCATTTGAGACCATCCACTTTTACTCCCAGGAAAGGTCTCATAAATGTAGAGTCATTAAAGAAGAGAAAAAGAAGAAATGAAAGAAATGGAAAAAGAGCGCTTCGCAGACAACTTGATTGGTACACAAAAGTCCCATACCGTACAAGGAATAATGAATGGAAAAGTAAGTATCCGCGCTGTCTTCCTACGCGCACGCCACGATAACTCGTCCACCACGACGGGCAGTACTTACCGAGAGGGAATTTTCCTATTAAGAAGAGCTCCTCTCTAAACGCAAGGAAGTGGTCACTAACGAAGGAATAAAAGTGGCAGTTCAATGAATTTTCGCAATTGTGATTTACAAGCCCGCCTAAGGGAAGCGACTCACCGAAATCAAACGTGTATCTCTGGCACTCGGCCGAGTTGTCCCGGCCATTACTGCATCCTCATTGCGGATCACCTGCCTGAATTCTGCGCAGCAATGACGCAAAGAAACAAGTGTTAATCAATCAATAGAGCCTCACCA